CAGTGTTTCAGATCAGCCTAAGCAAGAGTGAGACCCTGTCTTTACTAAAAAATAGAAAAACTAGCTGGGTGGGCATTGTAGTGGGCACCTGTAGTCCCAGCTAACTTGGGAGGCTAAGGCAAGAGGACCTCTTGAGCACAAGAGACTGAGGTAGCTGTGAGCTATAATGAAACCATAGTACTCTACCAGGGCAGTGGAGTAAGACTCTGTCTCTAAAAAAAAAACCAAAAGTTTTCAGAAGTGAGGTGATAGAACACAAAACCAAATGTAAAATGAAAATTGCATTTCACAAATGAAGACTCAACTGGAAGACACAAAAGAGAGAATAAAAATAACATATAATATCCCACAAGAACAAGAAAGTTAAATTTAAAAAGAGAGATATAAGGCTGGGTTCAGTGGCTCATGCTAGTAATCCTAGCACTCTGGGAGGCCAAGGTATGAAGATCATTTGAACTCAGGAGTTTGAGACCAGCCTGAGAAAGCACAAGACCCCATCTCTATTTTAAACAGAAAAATTAGCCAGGCATTGTGGCATACGCCTATAGTCCCAGCTGCTTGAGTGGCCAAGGCAGAAGGATCATTTGAGGCTATGAGTTTAGGTTGCAATAAACTATTGTGATACCACTGCACTCTACGTATGGTGACAGAATGAGACTGTGTCTCAAAAAAGTGGGGGGAGGGCGGTGCCTGTGGTTCAAGGAGTAGTAGGGTGTCAGCCCCATATACCAGGGGTGGCAACTTCAAGCCCAGGCCTGGCAAAAAAAAACTGCAAAAAAGAAAATTTTTTTTAAAAAAAGTGGGGGGACAGATATAAAGGATTTAAGATGACTGACATTTTTGATAGGCAAAGATGGTCTAAACTACCAATAATAGAAGTCCCCGAAAAATCAAAGGGGGAGAACTAATATAGGGTGCCCATAAAGTTCATGCACAATTTAAATAGGTCACACCCAGACTTTATGGCCACCCTGTATTAAACAAGGTAAAAAAATCTTTCTGTAAATTAAAAAAGGATTTCAAAACAATACACAGCAAATCTAAGAGTATCAAACTGGAATGATTAAGACTTACTGTAGTAAAACTTGCCAGAAACAAAGAAAAAAGGAAAGAAGGAAGGAAGGAAAATCCTTTCAATATCTAAAACAAATGTCTTATAAGAGAAAAGAGTTAGATTATTATCAGACTTTGGTAGTGGTAATAACGCTCTCTGCCAGAAACAAATAGAGCAATATATTCAAGGAAATAAAAGATGAGCCAAGCATTTTATACCCAGCAATATGCCTTTCAAGTATGAAGGGCATAGAGGCACTGTTATTAACATGGCAAGAACTTTGGGGAAATTATTCCCAGGAGTCCATCTGAGGAAACTACTAAAAAATAAGTTTTGGGCAAAACCATAAATTAATTAATTAAAAATGGAGGGACACGGACATAGGAGCTATGGTGAACACTAAACATACAGTTACTCGTAGAGGAGTAAAAGGCAACTAAAATGGGAGAGTGTATGACACGATGGCTATATGGACAGGCAGCATTGATATAGGACACCTATAAAAAATGAGGGGAATGAGGAGAACATAATGGAAGAAGAATTTTAAAAACTCTTTCCCCTAACTATTGGTAATGATAGCATTAACGCTCTTACTCTGTTTCCCAGGTGGCTGCTGAAGGTGGCAGGGGGCAGGTGTTGGTGCACATGGCAGAGGCTACCACGTGGCCATCACAGCCAAACAGGTACAGCTGGGCCCAAAGGTGGTTATTGTGCATTGCGAGGGCATCAGTGTTTCTGGCAATTTCTACAGAAACAAGTTAAAGTACCTAGCCTTCCTGAGCAGGCAGATGAACACCAACCCATCCTTGGCCCCTATTGTTTCCAGGCACCTGGCTGCGTTTCCTTGGGGGGCTGTGCAAAGCCTGATGTCCCGCAAGACCAAGCGAGGCCAGGCTGCCCTGGACAGCCTCATGGTGATCAACAGGAATCCCATCTTCCTATGATAAGGAAAAGTAGATGGCTGGTTTCTGCTGCCCTCAAGGTTGTGGGTCTAAAGTCTGGGAGAAAATCTGTCTACTGGGGTGGCAGGCAAAGGAGGCAGGAGGCAGGCTGGAAGTGCCAGGCAGTGACAGCAACCCAGGGGGAGAAGAGGAAGGAGAAGGCCAAGACCCAGTACTGGAAGAAAAACTGCCCACTAGGCTATAGGAGTAGGCCGAAAAGAACGTGGAGAAGAAAACTGACAAATACATGAAGGTCTACAAGGCCCACGGACTCCCGGTCTGCATCTGGTAAAGACTCCATTTCTCAGAATAAACCCAACAACAACCCCCCCTGAAAAACCTATTATTCTGGCTCAGCGCCTGTGGCTCAAGCAGCTAAGGCATCAGCCACATATACCTAAGCTGGCGGGTTCGAATCCAGCCTGGGCCTGCCAAACCACAATAACGACTGCAACCAAAAAATATCCGGGCGTTGTAGCAGGCACTTGTAGTCCCAGCTACTTGGGAGGCTGAAGCAAGAGAATCGCTTGAGCCTAGGAGTTGGAGGTTGCTGTGAGCTAGATGCCACAGCACTCTACCCAGGGTGATGGCTTAAGGCTCTGTCTCAAAAACAAAAAACACACACAAAAAAACCCTATTACTCTGAAACTGTATATAATGTAGGATAGAGCAAATGAGTAATTATGTGATATTCTAATTTTATGATCCCCTGTAACCTTAAGAATTAGGATTCTCAGTGCGGAAGAAAGGAAATACAGATAAAATACAGATAAAATACAGAAGTAAAAATACCCTGTAGTCTGAATTGGGACTGAAGGTATTAGTATAAATTCTTAAGGTATTTTATCATCTTCAATTTTACACACATATATCTATGTACATTAGTAAATAATTTCCTGGCTCTGTCTACAAAACAGACATGAAATCAATGAGAAACTTAGAAGCAATGAGCATCCTCACGACACAGACTATGATCTTGACATAGCATTTCCTGCTGAGAGAAATTATGGTTGCTTGAAAATGTTTAACCCCAGGTTTGGGCCAAGGAACGCACTATGGGAGCCTGGAACAACCAGGAGGCTTGTGTTAAAAGAATCAGGAGCTCAACTGAAGAGGCTCTTAGTGGCTAAAGATAATGCAATTGGAGTTTCTCTAAGAAAAATAATTACAATGGGTTGAAATCCAAATATGCTTAAATACATAATATTTCTAAGAAAATAAGTTGGCTTATTCCCAGGATCATAGGGAATCAATTTATTATGTTAAAAAATGTTAAAGAGGCTCGGCGCCTGTGGCTCAAGAGGCTAAGACGCCAGCCACATACACCGAAGGTGGCGGGTTCGGGCCTGCCAAACAACAATGATGGCTGCAACTAAAAAATACCCAGGCGTTGTGGCGTGCGCCTGTGGTCCCAGCTACTTGGGAGGTGGAGGCAGGACACTCGCTTGAGCCCAGGAATTGGAGGTTGCAGTGAGCTGTGATGCCACAGCACTCTACCCAGGGTGACAGCTTGAGGCTCTGTCTCAAAAAAAAAAAAAGTTAAAGAATCAAGTGCTTATTCTGCTTTTCTTCTGTGAAATATACCATGTTTTAACACATAGTAGGTTGCAGGAAATGTCTCCATAAAGGCATTCTAATTAATAACTGAAAAACAGTAGAACTAAAATATGATTTTTAAAGTAAGTCCTAACTAATAACCCTAGTCATTGAGGATTAACAGCTGGTAACATCACAGAAAGATGAACAACCAGGCATTTTGTGCCTCCCGGTTTTAAAAAAATACCCTTTTATAAGTCTTGCCAAAACGATTGAAAATGAATTTGACTTCGCCTGTGGCTCCAGCTGCCAAGTTGTAGGAAATACAGGAAACAGAGGAACATGGTGACCTATACCCACAAGTGTGCAATCAGCAACATCAGACCATCCAAACTGGGAAACTCTGGTCAAATGATCAGATTTCACAGATGCATTAAGAAGCAAACAAAGAATGGAGGGAAAATCAAAAGATTAAGAGATATAAAGGAAACATGTATTTTTTATTTTTATTTGGAAACACATTTTATTATTTATTTATCTATTTATTTTTGAGACAGAGTCTTATGATGTCGCCCTGGGTAGAGTGCTGTGGCATCATAGCTTACAGTAAACTCCAACTTTTGGGTGTAAGCAATTCTTTTGCCTCAGCCTCCCAAGTAGCTGGGACTACAGGCACCTGCCACAATGCCCAGCTATTTTTTGGTTGCACTTGTCATTGTTGTTTAGCAGGCCTGGGCTGGGCTCGAATCTGCCAGCTTCAGTGTATGTGGTCAGCTCCCTACTCACTGAGCTACAGGCACTGAGCCAGGAAACACGTTTTTTAAATGGGCAAGACTAAAACTCTATCATCTAGGGATGCAAACTTGAGTGATAAATGACTATAAAAGTTATGGTAGTAGTTACCTTTGTGGAAGAGAGCGTGGAGACCGGGGTGGGACACACAGGGTAGCTTCTGGGGTCATTAGTAAGTTCTATTTCTTGGGCAGCAGTTATGTAAATGTGATACATACTGAATGCTTATGTCACCCCCAAATTCATAGGCTTCCCCAATGTGATGATATTTGGAAGTGGGTCCACCTCGATGTGATGATATCTGGAAGTGGGGCTCTGGGGAGATAATTAGATCACAAGGGTGGAGGTATCATGAATGGGATTAGCGCCCTCCTGAGAAGGGGCAGAGAGATGACCTTGCTTTCTCTGCCATGTGGGGCACTGTGAGAAGGTGGTCATCTGCAGGCCAAGAACCCAACCAGTGCTCACCTTGACCCTGGGCTTCCCCGCCTCCAGAACTGCAAGGGATGAATGTTTGCTGCTTAAATCCTGGTCTATGGTTATTTGTTATAATAGCCAGAGCAGACCAAGATGCAGTGTTCATTAAACTGTAATTTATTTTGTGAGAATTTCTACATCCACATTTATCTTAAAATTTTAAAAGTTAATGAACAAAAACCCATATCCAGATCCTTTACCTGTGCCTTGGCCAATTTCTTTTCCAGAAGGTCCCGTTCCCGCTCTGTTTGCTGCAGACGTTTGTTGAGCTCCACGATATCTCCCTTCAGTGATGCCAGGGCTGCCGAATGGAGCTGTGGGGACAGAAAGGGCCAGGGGTTAGATGGTGCGGCACAGGCTCACTCCCCCCAACCCTTCCCTGTAACTACCACACCAAGATAAAAAAAAAAACAATCATTCAAAAGGGGACACTTTCAGGAATGAAAGGAAGTGCTATTAGTCTCAGGGACAACAGACATAAGTCAGGTGGGTTTCAGGCAAGCTGGGAACACGGTCACCCTGAATGTCATGTGTGGGCACTGGGACCTAATTTTGCACGGTATATTCAGGCAAAACTCCATCTTCCAATAACTTGCCTCAAGTGATCCAGGGAGGATAATCTTAAGAGCTAGAGTGCAGCTGCCTGGCAAAAAAGGGCAGAATCAAACTGTCACCTCTGGAAGATATGAAAACTGAAGGGGCTACATTCAGTCCCCCAGACTGCTACATGCACAACAGACCAACAGACAGCAGCGGCACATTAAAAGTGGGAGGGCTCCTTTTTCAGATGGTTTCTGTTATTCGCTTGTCACTTCCTCTGCCTCACTGCCCCCAGCTGACTGCACTGTCCAGATGCTTCTCACGTGCTAGCGGGCCCAGAACCAGAGCCCTGCTCCATGATGCTATGAAAAGACAAACCAAGAATCTACCTAGATGCCCGACCCCAGTCAAAAGTCTCCTGGGCTATGTTAAACAGAAAGTTCTCCAGCTGATGAACAAGGCCCCGAGGCACTTACGGGCTCCCAACCTGTTTGACTTTTAGGTTTTGAAGACTCAGCTTCAGCTACACACATACCTGCCCTGCTTTTAGGCCAATGGATGGGACTGTCTGAGACCAGCACACAGAGCCTGGGGCACGGCCTGAAACCTCCTATGCCCTCCCTGCCCACTCCAGGTGGAGCCCAGACCATCCCCTCACTGAACTCCACATTACATTTGGGTGAGGAACAGGAGTAGGACAAACCTCTCCCCTGTTTACAGGCTTCCTTTAGCTTTGTCAACAAGGATTTCAGGAAGTGAGCAAATATGTTTGATCTTTAAAGGTGGATGCAGGGCTGGGTGTGGTGGCTCGTGCTGGTAATCCGAGCACTCTGGGAGCCAAGGCACATGGATCGCTCGAGCTCAGGAGTTTGAGACCAGCCTGAGTCAGAACAAGACCTTGTCTCTACTAAAAATAGAAAAACTAGCCTGGTGTGGTGGGCACCTGTAGTCCCAGCTACTGGGGAGGCTGAGGCAGGAGGATCACTTGAGCCCAGGAGTTTGAGGTTGCTGTGAGCTATGATGCCACGGCATTCTACCCAGGGAGACAGAGTGAGACTCTGTGTTTAAAAAAAAAAAAAAAAAAGGTGAATACAGGACAATGGAATGCAATTCAACTTTGAAGACTGTCATTTCCTGTTTGGAAAAATGGTCTTTTCTGCGACCTCCCCTGCACACACTGCACGTTTGCTGCCAGGCATGCCAGTGAGGGTGGGGAGGGGCAGGAGCTGCAGGGTTGGGAGTGGGGTTTCAAGGCAGGTATTTTATCAGGCTGTAGTAGCAGGGAATGGGCCTTAGTTACGCTGGAGCTGCAAACCAACAGATCAACAGCTGATGTGAAATCAAGAATGCTTGAAATTTAAAAAAGAAAATGTCAGGCAAATCTGGCTGTATTTGCCTTCTCATGGAGGGCTAAGGCTGCTCCAAAAAGGTCACTTTGGATTTTAGATGCCAGATTTTGTGTGATGATTTCTCAACACAAATACCAGAGTTCCAGTTGTATAGCATTTTTGAAAGTGCTTCGTCTCCAGTGTGATGGAAAGGAACCCAAACTCACTCCCTCCGAAAGCTGGGTTGCCCTCTGAGCCTCTGAACTGTCAACCTGAGGATTCTCCTTCAGAATCTATGACATGTTACACTATCACATCAAATCTCAGGAGAAGATTGGCCACTTCACCTCTGGGGAGAAGGACAAAATACATTGAGAGCAGGAAACGTTCCATAAGAAATACAGCAGTGGGCCCAAGGAGCCTGGCTGCGTCCCTCCTCACACCCCTCCCCCGCTTCTGGACAGAAGGACTGCCTGGAGGGGCTGGGGGCCAGGCGGGGAAGCTGTGTGCTCCTCTGCTGACTTCACGAGCTGGGCCAGATGGAGAGCAGCTGTTTCTATCACCCACCCCGCAGAGAGGTCCAGGATGGGCCACTGCCACGGGGCAGGGCACTGGGCTTGGAGCTGATGATACCTTTGGGTCTCCAGACTGCCAGGGAGAGCTGTGGGATGTGCATGGGGTGGGAGAATCCCTTCGCTTCTCCAGATGGAAGGTGTCTATAAAATGAGAACAGATTCCTGAAGAATCTCATGAATGTGAAGAGCAGGAATTTGTGGTACATGTTCATTTTCCACCCAGTTATAGTGATGACACACTCTGGAATCTATCCACGAACCTCAAATGAGAAATATCTGAACCAGATGCCAGCTCCGTGACCCCACATAAGGCTACAACTCAGAGATGGGAGGTGGAGGCAGGGAAGAAGTCGGCAAGCAACTGCAGGGTGCTGTGGAGAAGTGGGCTGGCCGGCCACTCCCTGACCTCCAGAGCATGGAGCAGGAGGCCAGCTGCAGGCCCTGCAAGGCTGAGTGCTGGACCTCAGTCCCTGTGAATCTGAGGCCACAGCTCTCTCTTCCCACTTTATCACTAACTCAGTAATCAAACGCTGATGTGACTCTCCTTCTTGTGGGTTTTGACCCCCTTTCCTCTGGCCACGCTGTTGGCATCCCTGCAAATTCCAGAGCTAGAGTGTCTTCAAGTGATACCACGAGTAGCATGAAGGCACCTGTGTTGTGCGTCAAGGCAAGCATGAAAAATAAGAAGAAAAGAGGTCCTCCTGGGAAATTTTAAATTTTTATCGATATATAACTGTACATATTTGTGGGGTATATGTGATATTTTGATACATGCACACAAGGTGTAAGGATCAAATCATGGTATTTAAGATATCCATCATCTCAAACTTTTATCAATTCTTTGTCTTGGGAACATTCCTGATCTCTTTCTAGCTATTTTGAAATATACAGTATGTATTATTGTTAACTACAGTCGCCCTAGTGTGGTATCAATCACTAGGCCTTAGTCCTTCTATCCAACTATACGGTTGTACCAACTAATCAACCTCTCTCTACCCCCTGCCCACCCTCTGGTAACTATCAGTCCACTCTCTACTTTCATGAGATCATTTTTGGGTTTTCTAGCTTCTATGTATGAATGTGAGCACGTGCTATCTGTCTTTCTGGGCCTGGCCCATTCCACTCAGCATAATGACCTGCAGTCTCATCCATCTGCTACACATGGCGGGATTTTGTTATTATGGCCGAATAGTACTATTATACTGGTATTCTCCACCGTATTCTCTTCATCCATTCACCTGTTGATGGGCACTTAGGTTGATTCTATACCTCGGCTATCATGAACAGTGTTGCAATGAGCACGCTGGTACAGATATGCCTTTGATATAATGGTTTCCTTTCCTTTGGATAAATACCCAGTTGTGGATTGATGGATTGTCTATTTTTTACAGTTTTCTCAGAAACCTCCATATGGTTTTCCATAATGGCTGTACCAGTTTACACTCCCACAAGCAGAATATCAGAGTGCCGTCAGGGTAGTTTTGAAAAGGACTGACAGTGGGTTTAAATAAATCCTGGAAAGGTAAATTTTACTAAAGCAACCAAAAATTATCAAATATCTATATACCTGAAGTTACATTTATGTCCATTTTGGGGGTCCTTTTAGTCACACCCTGGTTTTTGAAATGGCCTCTAACTTGAGTGGGAGAGCCAGACCTGAGCTATGAAGTACAAGTGAAAGAAAATGTTTCTTGAACCAGAGGGAAAGACAATCATGTGCTGTCTGGAGTCTGTGTTTGTGTCTTCCTCAACACAGACTTTTCTTCATCCTCAAGACTAAGATCCTGATTTTTAGCTGGTCATATTGCTGCTCAGCTGAAATACCCTGGTTCCCACCCTTGGATGCAGTTGGAGCTGGGTGTTGCCACATGGCAAAGTTTTGGCGAATGAGATTAAGTAGAAATACTGTGTGAGAGGTTTGGGGAAATCTTGGTACCTCATGTGATGGATGGAGCTCTGGCAGCCATCTTGTGCCATAAAGATGAGCTTCACACTCTGGGGAGCTGAGAGGTGTCTGAGTCCCTCCCAGCTTGAGGAGAAATCCTATCAGCTTTGGACTGCCTAACCCCATACCTCTGTAACAGCACTGTAAGAAATAAACCTTTGTCATATAAAGCATTACAGGTTGAGATTTTCTGACAAATGAAGCTGATCTAATCCTAATTTACTCCAAATCAGATAAACTTGGGTTCAAATCTTTCATGCTGCTTGTTGGTGGACCACTGATTTTCAACTGATGTGCTGTGAGAGGATCTTAGGTGTGTTGTGAAATTTTTTTTTTTTTTTTTTTTTTGCAGTTTTTGGCTGGGGCTGGGTTTGAACCTGCCACTTATATCTGGCATATGGGGCTGGAGCCCTACTCCTTTGAGCCACAGGCGCCGCCTACTGTGAAAACTTTTAAAGATCGTTAATTAAATTATTTTCAGAAGACGTTCAAAGCAGATTAAGTATATTTTTTTACATTTTTTTTGGATAAGCATAATTTAAGAGTGCTACAGAAGTTTCACTATAGGTTCAAGTGTGCTGGAAGATTAAAAAGATTGAAAACCAGTGGTCAACTGTCTCAGGCAATTTATTTAATCTCTTTGCTACACGGTTGTCGTACAGACGAGAGTAAGACTGCCTCTATGAAGTGACCAGAACTGTGTCCAGAACCAGGTAAGCTCTCAGCAAACGTGCATCTCCTTTCCCAGCCAAGTCTCAAGACGACAGCAATTCTCAGTCAACAACCTTCTCAGGCCCCACCAGAGGCGCTGAGAGACACTGTGAGTGAAACAGTCCTGTCTTATGGAAGCTCAGTGCCTGGTGGTGTCAGCACAGGACTGGGAGGCCTGTGGCTGATTTGCAGATTCCACTGAAGTCCTAGGAGCT